TGACCCTCATGTGGGATCCGAACCGGGGCCCTGCTGCTCAGAGCTGGTGTCCCAAGCCAACTCTTAACCAATGCGCCACTCGGCCGGCCCGGCAATAAACATTTCAATACAACTTGGTGATAGAATAAATTACATGAGTGATATAATTATTTCAAGTTAATTAAAATATTATTGGCATAAATTTTTCTTAAAATTCAGGAGTTAACCCTATACTCCTCACTATTTGCACTACTTTTAGGGTTTCAGTCTCCATGACTTTTACATATAACGTTTAAAAAAAATTAGTTTCAGGTGTACAAAATAATGTAATGGTTAGACATTTACACTCCTCACAAAGTGATAAGCCCCGCAATCTACTATCCCTGACATCTTATATAGCTGTTATAATACCATTGACTATATTCCCTATGCTGTACTTTACATCTGTGACTATGTATACTATATATTTAATTATAGTTGACATTCAATATTATTCTACTTCAGCTTCAGGTGTACAGTGCAGTGGTCAGGCATCTACATAGTCTATGAAGTGATCCCCTTGATAAGTTCAGTGCCCTTCTGGCACCTTATATAATCTTTACAACATTATTGATTATATTCCCCATACTGTATTCACATCCCTGTGACTATATTGTGACACTAATTTGGACTTTCTAATCCCTTCACCTTCTCCCTCATCCCTACCCCCTCCCATCTAGCAACCATCAGTTTTTTCTCTATATCTCTATTTCTCTTTTGTTTGCTTGTTTATTCTGTTCTTTAGATTCCACAGGAAAAATATCTTAAGCCACAAAAATCTGACTTCTGGAATACAATCAGAGAAAACTGCACATATTAATAAAATTTCACAGGGAGCCAGGAGATATTAGATTAGTTTTGTATAATGAATAAATATTCTTTCAGAAGGTTAATACATAGCCCATCATTAGTGCTTGTTTAAAGTGTTGAAATCTCACAAGGTTTCTAAGGCATGAGCTCAAAAGTACAATTTTGAAAAGGCCTGCTTTAAACATTAGAAGAAAAGCAGTCTCCCAACTATAGACCTAACACTGTTTCAGGAACAGAAGTTCCAGAGTAACTGCACTTGTGACTTCCAGGAAAATATGGAGGCGCTGCAGTGATCAATGCTGCATCAGAGGGGGCTCTCAGGGCTGAGGCCTTGCTGTGCACCCCGGGTGGTGTCAGGAGCCAGGACAACAAGGGTTAATCTTGCTTCATCAATATAAAAGGTTTTGAATATCAGTGCCACCCCACAATCCCCTGCCCAGGCAAATAAATGATATTTAACCAGAGTTAAAAGGCAAGGAAATAAAGTCGGGAAGAACAGGTATTTAATGTTGGCATGAGTGGAAGATGGACACTGGCACATGCAGTTCAGAGGGGGTGTAAACTGGCACAAATCTTCTAGCGGGCAGCTGGATGGCCGCTGGATGCAAACCCTACTCTAGTAACATATCTTAAGGACGCAATTTAGGACATCCACAGGAGGTGTTTGGGTTACCACCATGCTGTTTGGATAATGAGAAACTGAAGACAACTACAAAGCCCACAGGGGTGTTAAACAAATGAGCTATACAACAGAATGCTACATGCCCATCTCAGAAACAGTGCTGTGAATGGATGAGGCGTTCAAACAGAAAGAGGTTTGACATCTAATACTAAATGGAAAAAAGGCCACAAAACATTATGTACAGTTTAATACTTAATTTTTTCCCTGCTCCCCTTCCCCATACATTACTATACTGTTTTTAGTTTATATTTACTTCCAAAACATTTTTATGCACATGTAAACAAATATAAATTTTTATTTTTTCTCCCCCTTTAAAAAAAATGAACATGTTGTATTAGGTTGGTGCAAACGTAATTGCAGTTTTTGCATTGTTGGAATCTGCCTTTGATTTGGAATATATATATATATATTTATTTATATATTTATATATATAAATATATATATATATATATTTATATATATATATATTTTAAAGATTTTTATTGGGGAATTGGGGGATGGGAACAGCGCTGGGGAATTGGGGGAAGG